CAGAGCCAACCTTAAGAAATGGGGCTACAAAGTGGAATCCATGACATGCGAGTGTGGAGAAGAACAAACCACTGACAACCTGCTGCAATGCACCCTGAGCCCATGCATAGTGGAGGACCTCCTTGCGGCAACACCAGAGGCACTCCAAGTGGCCAGCTCCTGGTCAAAGAACATTTGATCAACTACCAAGCTTGCAAACTCTGTATTTTGTCTGTTTGTTTGTTAAAAAATGCAACGCAACTGTTCGGTCTGCTCCTGACAGGATAAATAAAATAGCCACTTCCTCCAGTGCCACTCTGAGACTGCACAGCATCGTCAGCGCACAAGGTGGGAGGGAGAGGCCGCGGAGGGAGAGAGGCCTCAGGAAAGGCAGGCCTTGTTGTTGTTTCCCTTCCCCGCCTCCCTCTCTCTCTCTCTCTCGCACTCCTGTTCCCAAAAAGGGATCTCCTTCCGAGCCTCTCGGGGGAGGGAAGCTCCCCCTATGGCGAAGCACGTTTTCCTCACAGGGCCGCCAGGTAAGACCCCTCGGCCCCCCAGAAACACACACACGCAGGCAGGCAGGCAGTGCTATTTCAGGCAGGCTGAGAGGAAAGGAGGCCGGCTGAGGCGGGAAAGGAATGGCGGAAGTCGCTCCCATTCGGCGCCTCAAGAAGGGCTGGGAGAGAAGGCCGTTTTGCGGGGCGTTGCTGGGAAAGGGAGGCCTCTCCTCCTCCTCTGCAGCGTTGAGGGCCCGTTTCCCTCGCAGATGCCTGGGGACGGCGGGCCAGATACCTGTCCTCACAGGGATTTCTGAGCGTTTTCTTAGGCAAGCGAGACTCAAGAGCTGCTGTGTCCCTTCCTTTGAAATGGATGGTCCCTGCACTTCATTGGGGAGCCCCCATCTAGATAAATAAGTGCCTGGTCTGAGCGCGCTTGGCTCCAGGATGAGAAGGGGCCTGGTGCCTTTAGGGCATTGTTTCTCAACCTGGGGGTCTGGACCCCTGAGGGGGGGATCGCAAGGGGGTGCCACTGGAGTCACCAAAGACCATTAGAAAACACAGTGTTTTATGTTGGTTATGGGGGGCTTGTGTGCCAAGTTCGGCCCAATTCTGTCATTGGTTGGGTTCAGGATGCTCTTTGATTGTAGGTTAACTATAAATCCCAGCAACTGCAACTCCCAGGAAATCAGAAGACGCTTACTTCTTGGGAGGAGAGCAATGTCCAGTCTCGATAAAATAGTAAAGAGTAGAGACATCACACTGGCAACAAGGATGGATTCCCTGTAGTAACCTACGGATGTGAGAGCTGGACCTTAGGGAAGGCTGAGCGAAGGAAGATCGATGCTTTTGAGCTGTGGTGCTGGAGGAAACTGCTGAGAGTGCCTTGGACTGCGAGAAGATCCAACCAGTCCATCCTCCAGGAAATAAAGCCCGACTGCTCATTGGAGGGAAGGATACTAGAGACAAAGTTGAAGTACTTTGGCCACATCATGAGGAGACAGCAAAGCCTAGAGAAGACAATAATGCTGGGGAAAGTGGAAGGCAAAAGGAAGAGGGGCCGACCAAGGGCAAGATGGATGGATGGCATCCTTGAAGTGACTGGACTGACCTTGAAGGAGCTGGGGGTGGTGGCGGCCGACAGGGAGCTCTGGCGTGGGCTGGTCCATGAGGTCACGAAGAGTCGGAGACGACTGAACGAATGAACAACAACAACAACAAAATGTCACAATAATTTCATAGAATCATAGAATCATAGAGTTGGAAGAGACCTCATGGATCATCCAGTCCAACCCCCTACCAAGAAGCAGGAATATTGCATTCAAAGCACCCATGACAGATGGCCATCCAGCCTCTGTTTAAAAGCTTCCAAAGAAGGAGCCTCCACCACACTCCAGGGCAGAGAGTTCCACTGCTGAACAGCTCTCACAGTCAGGAAGTTCTTCCTCATGTTCACACGGAATCTCCTCTCTTGTAGTTTGAAGCCATTGTTCCATGTCCTAGTCTCTAGGAAAGCAGAAAACAAGCCTCCTCCCTCCTCCCAGTGGCTTCCTCTCACATATTTATACATGGCTATCATATCTCCTCAGAGCACTCTTGGCCCCAAAGATGACAAGGGGCCTGGTGCCTTTAGGGAAGCAAGACCCCTAATGCAGGTATGGGCAAGCATGGGCCCTCCCTCCCTCCACAATGCCTAACAGCCCCAGGACCCTTCCCTTTCCCCCTCAGCCGCTTAAGGGCCTGAGGCTGTTAGGAATTGTGGGAGTTGAAGTCCAAAACACCTGGAGGGCCCAAGTTTGCCCAGGTCTGCCCTAAAGGTATGGGCAGGCAGCCCTCAAGTTACAAACAAGATAGCCTCTGTAGGTTTTGTAGGTCTTCTTAAGTTGAATTTGGATGCGAGTTGGAAAAGGTACATTTTAAGGTAACTCCAGCCACTTTGGATAGCATAGGGAGGGGTTAACATCCCTATGATGTTTGTTTTACTGTCTGTGCCCCTGTTTATAAGATTTCACCTCACTTTCTGACCCTGTGACCTCATTTGGAACTTCATTGTAACTAGACAACTCAGTTTTGTGAACAAATATGGAACGGGTTAACAATGCAAATGGATTTTAACTCAGAAGATTTTTTTATAATTTTAACTGTTGTATTATAGAATCATAGAATCACAGAGTTGGAAGAGACCTC